CTCCAAAGAGTTAATGTGAGGATTAAATGAGGCAATTTGTATAAATGTGGTATAGAGTCTGGAACACACACCTTTAAATGTTTGTTTCCTTCTCCTGGCCAATTGAGCCTTGGATGGAAGGTCAAAGACGGGCTTCTGTTTCCTAATACAGGGTTTCTATTCAGTTAGGATAATGAGCACAGAGGGAAATGGTAAACTTCTAGGTCTGGAAGCAGTCCTAGCCTACTCGCTTGTTTTCTCAGTGAGGAAGTTGAAGCCCAGAGGACTCTGGTGATTTCCCTAAGGTCACCCAATGATTTCAGTAGTAGGGCTGGAAACAGAACCCAGGTGCCGACCCAGCGTCCAGTGCACTTGGGCAACCTCTCCTACAACTTTATAATTTTATTGCCAGCCTCTCACTCTCAGAAGAGGGAGTGTCTTCATATTACAGTTTATCTGAAGTCTCTGCAGGGAGGAAGATAATTCCTGAGAAGATGCCTGGAGAGATTCCCAGTCCTTTACAACTTCCTAGAGACTGGGCGAGGAGGTTAGCTCTCCTTGTCACATTCCAGGGAATACCAGGATGGAGTGACTTCCACAGGATCTGAGGGCCTGATGTCCCTAGAGGGTAGGGCAGGCCTCCTCCTCCCCCTTCCTAGAGAGATGGGAAGGGGAGAGAGCAGTCAGCACAGGACAGACCTGGACTCAGAACAGGTCACTTGGACTTCCCTGGTGGCCTAATGGTTAGGAATCTGCACAGGTTTGATCTTGATCCCTGGTCCAGGAAGATCCCACATGCCACAGGGCATCTAAGCCTGTGGGCCACAACTACTGAACCCGAGCTCTGGAGCCTGTGCTCTGCAACAAGAGAAGCCAGCATAACGAGAAGCCCGTGTCCTGCAACTAGAGAGCAACCCTGGCTTGAGGCAGAGAAAGCCCATGTGCAGCAAGGAAGACCCACAGCCAAAAATAAATAAGTAAACAAATAAATTAAAAAAAAAAAAAAAAGGACAAGTCACTTAGCAGCATCACTCAAGCCCCAAATACTCCAAACTCCTCAGAATATGGAGCACTGACTCCTAGAGCTTCAACCTCTCTTAATAATAACAGTGACAACAACAATAATATTAATAAGTGCCAGGCACTGTTAAAGGCTATCATATATTATCTTTGCCTGAACGCTAGCAGCCTGCTTTTGAGAGGCAAAATAAAGTGGTAGTTAAGGGCCTGGTCTCTGGTTAAAACTTCATGGGCTCAAATCCAGATCTCTCACTTACATACAGGGCAATACAGGTAAAAATCAGGTAAATTAATATGTATAAATCATTCACCATAGCACTGGGCACACAGCAAGCTCTGTGTGCTCTAATTGTTAAAATCTTATAGTCATCTCAGGGGCCTTTCCTTAGTCATCTTATCTAAAGGGCTCCCTTTAATGATTCACTTTCAGATTATTGTTTTATTATTTGTTAATCTCTTATCATGATCTAGGATTATCTTCCTTTTCTTTCTTTCCTTGTTTCTTGTCCATTTGCTCCCATTAACAGAGAAGTTCCATGGGAGCTGAATCTTGCTTGGGACCTAATAAAAGCTCAGCACATATTTGTTGAATTGAATTGAATTTTATCATCGGATTTTCCCTCTTCTATGAAGACGCAAAATGCACTGAGAGTTCCTTTGTTTGCTCAAGGTCACCCAGCTGGTGACCCAGTTTGGCTCAAGTCAAACCCAGTGTGACACAAAATCCCTCACTCTTAACGACTATGCTAAATTGGCTCCTCTTGCTCAAAAATTCTTGGGGCTTCCCAGGTGGTGCTAGTGGTAAAGAACTTGCCTACTAATGCAGGAGACATAAGAGACATGGGTTCAATCCCTAGGTTGGGAAGATCCCCTGGAGGAGGGCATGACAACCCACTCCAGTATTCTTGCCTAGATAATCCCATGGACAGAGGAGCCTGACAGGTTACAGCCCATACAGTCGCAGAGTCGGACACAAGTGAAGCGACTTAGCATGCACGCAGGCACTCAAAAATGCTTGTGAGTAAGTGAATGGGAAGGTTGCCACATCTTATCAACTTTCTCCCCTCTCAAATGGTGCTGGGTCTGGAAATTTGGGGTGGGGGGGACAGCAAAGAGCTAGCCTTCATGTCTTTCTCCTAGAGCTCAGCCTCAGCACCTCCCCACATCTTCATGTACTCCTTTCCCACCTGACCCTGAAGTCCTTTCACCCAGTCTCATCCTCATCCTCTCCATCTCCAGCCCCACTTCCCTCCAATCCCACCCTATTCCTTCTCTACCCCTGTTCCCTTCTCAACCCCATTCCCATGCCAAAGGGCTCTGTCCTAGGACCTGAGACCTATATCTGTGACCTGAGGTAGAAAAGGTTTGCTTTCTTTCACAGAGTTTATATAAGATATAAATATGTCTGTTAAATTTTCCTGAGTCATACTTCCATAGTCCTCTTTCTCTGGATGTTTTGGTGGCCTCCTATGTTTACGTATTTTCCAGTGTCTAACCTCTCCCCTACATTCATGATCTCATTTGTGCAGTCCGTGATCTCATTATCTCAATCCAAAGGCACTTTGCCTGCTTGTTGCCTGATCCTGCCTTTCAATTCATTTCCCAAGACCTGGCCTCAAAGTTCCAGGAAGGGTGGGGCCAGGAAGTTCTGGTGAATAACCACACTGAAAACACTCCTATCCTCCCTGCCAGTCCTTGACTTCTGTCACGCAACACGTGGCTTTCTGAAAACAGGGCAAGGTTAGACAGTGGCCGGATCATATGAATATGTGCTTCAGTCTGACATCTGGAACTTGGCTAGGGTGTGGTGTCAGGACTAATGCCAGGCAGGCTGGGTGTCACCTGAGGCTACTTAAGATCTTGGTGGCACAGATGTTCCTCTGTCCAGCTGGACAGGCAGTTGCCGTTGTCTGGATCCTGGGCAAGAGTGATCATGGAGTCTTCAGGAGACCTTCAGTCAGGCCCAAGCATGAGGGAGGATAAGGCTGAGTAGAGATTATGGACAATCATGACAGCCATGTCAACAACATCTGCTAGCCTTACAAGGATAGGTGAGTTAGGATGGGACAGATAGATATTTTGAATGGTCTTTAGAAAGGAATAAGGAAGGCACCAATGGGCCACATTTGGGAATACAGCTAAGGCTGAGACTTAAGGGGCTGGAGTTTGGGATTAATGACTGGTTGTCTACCCGGCGAGGGGCAGAAGGGCTGGAGGCCTATAGGTCTGATGCTGTTAGGAGATAAGTAGGTTAATAATCATCATCCACTGCAATTGTACAATATATTCTCATGCATTTCCTCATCTGTCTAGTTTTCTGGACCAGTATCACTGTCTGTCTTCCTAATTTCCACACAGACATTTTAATATATGAGTAAACAGGCTCAGAGAAGTTATGGGATTTTCTTCTGTAGCTACTTATAGGCAGAGTCAGCAGTAGTGTCCAGGTCTCTTGGCCCCTGATCTGGTGCCCTTCCAGTTCTCTCAGAGATTCCTTCAGTACAGAGGGTAGGGGCTCAAGGCATTTGACCTGTCAGAAGAGGTAGAATAGAACCAACAGGGGGAAAAGCCTGGGGCAGGAATGTGGAGACAGCCTGAAACTCTCCCTGCCACAGGTCCCACTGGCTGGAGGACTCTATGACCCAGCAATTCCACTCCGAGATACATATCCTCTTGGGAATGAGTGCATTATGTACACCAAACAATTAGTCGTAAGAAAGTTCATAGTAGTTTTATTCATAATTATCAGAAAGTAAAAACAATCTAAGTGTCTATTGACAAAAGAATCCATAAACAAACTGTGGTACATCTCTATAATGGAGCTTGACACAGCATGAAAAAAGAACAAACTACTGATATACACAATAACATGGGTGAATCTCAGAGACATTGTGTTGAGAAGAAGCCAGTTTCAAAAGAATACATTCAATATGAACAAACGAATCTGGGGTGATAAAATAATTCACATCAGTGGTTGCTAGTAAGGGTTGGGGATGGTGGACTGACAGGGGTACAAGGGAAGTTTCTGGGGTGATGCAAATGTCCTAGATCTTCATCCGATAGTAGTAGTAACACGTGTTGTACATGGTAGCTTTAAGATTTGTGCACTTTACTATATGTAAATTATACTAAAAAATTTTTTTTTAATTAAAGCTTAGCTTTTAAGGAAGGAGCCACTTGAAGAAGGAAAAGGAAGGGTCTTAAAGAGTATGGAGGGGATGTCCCAGGTTGGCTCCTGTGGGAGGTGACCGACTGTCCTGATTTGCCTGGAACTGAGGGGTTTCCTAGGACAAGAGACTTTCAGTGCTAAGACTGGGAGAGTCCTGGACAGACTGGGACAGCTGGTCATCCAACTCCTGTGAAGGTGGGGAGCCAGTAGGGGACTCTGAATGATGGGCAGAGAGGCTGGGCTCCCGTGATACCAGGGCTGAGGGGCTGCTCCAGCAGGAAGAGATGGGCCTGCCAAGAGGTGAGGGCAACGGGCATAACTGGTGGTTCCTCAGCACTCCTGATCCTCTAGGAGCAGGAAGGGCTTTGGGGTAGAGCTGGAGGGAAAAGCCCTCAGAGACTGAACTGAGATAGTTGGGCTGCCAGGTTTAACACTGCAGCTTCTAAGCTGGGCTCTGAGGAGATTTTCCCTTGAGCTCTCTCTTCACACCAGGTACCCCCACCCCATCCTCCCTCAATTGCCTAGGCCAAGAAAACACCAACAGTATACACTGATTTTGTGGAAGGGAAAAGGACATGGGGATCTAGCAAAGAAAAACGCGGTTGTCTCTTCACCTCAGTTATCACGAGGCGGAGACTGTCCCCTCCCCACTTTATCTGCCACTGCTGTGGTGTCAGCTGCAAGTATCTCTGCTAACTTCTCAGAGCCTGGGACAGATGGGACAATGAGGGAGAGGCCCTTCCAGCTCTCTGGCTGAGGCCTGAGGTGAATTCTGACAGAAACTGTTGGCAGGGCTGGTCCATGGAGGGACCGGGAACCAGGGAAAGTGGGCTCAGAAGTTCTCATAGTGGTGCACGAAGTGGGCCTGGTCCTGCTGGTTGATGAGCTGACAGGCCTTCTCTACATTCTTGGTCATTCCTGGAGGGCCGCAGCTGAACACCCCGATCTTCCGCACCTATCAAGTGTTGGGGGGGAGGAGGCAGAGGTTGCAGAGGAGAGGCCTCTGGCCTTGAGCTGCTCACTCCCCAGGAGCTGCTTCCCAAGCCTGACTGGAGTGACCAAAGCATTGACCCCAGGCGCTAAGGAGGAGGAGTCTTGAATTGGGGAGGCAGGGGTGGGGTTTAAAGCCCTCCTCCAACCCTGGACCCCATCCTGAGGTTCTCTGCTCAGGACACAGCTGCAGCCTCTTCAAGGGCCAGAAAGTCCTGGCAGGGGAAGGATGGTTGGGGGTGGGACTGACCTTTGGGTGGACCTCCTGCAGAGAACTGAAGAAGCGTTCAAAGGGGGGGCGGCCAAAGTGGGTGATGGAGCGCAAGCCCGTGAACAGACTCCGGTTCAGCACCTTCTGGAAGTGCCGCTCACAGATGTACTGGGGGAGGGAGCAGAGGAGGAAGGTCACAGCCAGCGCCTTGGCCATCCTGCCTTGCTCTGCCCACCCACACACCCACAGTCGCCCCCTGGCCGGCCCTGACGCACCAGCATGGTGGTCCTGAGGTCGAACTTCTCAGCCAGCTGGGTGATGTAGATGTGTACGGACACCAGGTCCTGGCAGTCATTCTCCTCCACCTCCCGGATAATGTCAGCCAGCCATTCAAACTGCCGCTGGGTCCGCGTCACCCAGATGAAGTAGATCTGGGGACACATGACTAGGGCTCTGACTCAGCTCAGCTCAAGGAGCCACAGGCTTTTTATCATGCTGCTTTGCTATGATGTGGGGACACAATCAGGCTGTCTGCCCCTATTTCTTTGAAGAATGGAAGAAAGTAAACACTCACCTTTTTACAGAGCATTTGGCTCCCCAAGGATGACTTGAAGACCAGGTCTTTGAGGATGGAGGCAAAGGGGGTGACCCCAATGCCCCCTCCCACTAGCACTGACACCTCAAACTTATGCCACTCCTGGTGGCCCTCTCCAAATGGCCCATCGAGGTACAGCTGCCAACAGAAAAAGAAGATGAGACAAGCCTGGTCCTTCCCCAGCTCTGAGGTTAGATAAGTGGGGGAAGAGGGACAGGGAGAACCAGTCTCTTTGATGCACCCCAGCCCTCTCCCAGTCTGGCTTTGGGGTAGCTGAAGCATCTTATCCTGGGGTCAGGAAGGGTGGGGACCTTTTGTCAATGCTAGAGCCCCCAAAAGTGGTCCCAATGATGGGCACCTTTGGATATTTGGCACTGCTGTCAACCGTTGGAAGTGAGTAGATCTCCCTGAGGCGGGTGGTCCATGGCCCCACTGCCCGGATGTGCAGGCTAAGCGTCTCCTCATGGGGCGCTGATGTCAGCGTGAAAGGGTGGTACTCGTTGGTCCCCAGAGCCAGGCAGGCAATCCGCACCCACTGTCCTGACTTGTACTCAAAGCCTTGGGGCCGCTGGAACTCCAGGTGAGTCACTCCTGAGGGTCGTGGGCAGGGAGAAGCAGGAATCAGAGGGCTTGTTCCTGGTACCTGAGAACCAGCAGGTGCCCTGTCCTCACCACACACCTCAGGCACAGGGAGCAGTCACGTGATCTGAGCTAGTAGGGCTTCTGGGTTGGGGGTTGAAGGACCCTTTTCTCTGTTTCTTGGGTAACTCAAGAGCTGGGCTTCTCTGCTCCCCTGTTCCAGCCCCTCCCCTCCTCTTTGCTGCTTCCTGCCACTAAAGGCCCAGGCTGACACCACTGTCCTGGGTACCAGTGTACTAGGTCAGGGACCTCGGGCTCCCCAAGTACCACCTCAGTGTTTACCAAATCTCCACTGTGTGAATGTTACCTTTGTGGTGGAACTTAGGCGCTCATCCTCACGGATTATCATTTAGCTAATGTTTTTCTTTAAATTGACTTATTTTTCAACTCAGTTTACCTTGAGAAGAACATTTAGGTCACTGAGGCAGGTGGAAAACCAGTGTCATGTGCTCTATCTAGCTCTAAAGGCCAAGCTCTTAACCACCACCCTACATGTCTAAGTGTTATGTGCTCTAAATAGAAAGTACCACATTTTATCATGTTTTAGCTGGATCCTGTTTGTTGCCTGACCACAGCTGAGCCTCAGGCTTGTTCTTTCTTTGTGGAAAAAGGAGATTTGCAAGTACTGGAGGGTGCAAAAGGCATGCGAAGACTATGCTGAGACTTTGCTCTTAAGTAATCTTGATTGATATAAAGTCGAATGAGGTTAACTTTCTTACAATGTGAGTTCTGAGGGTCAGCCAGCCCCACAACCCTTAAATATCCTCAACCATCCTCTACGGTGATGTGAATCCCCACTCTGGCTAGCACTGACTCTCAACAGACTCTTGTGGTCTGGGCCATTTGTCTGTCTCTGAAGAGGGGTTTTTCCGAGTGGAGAAATGGGAGAAGGATGTTTGGTTCCCTGCCCTGTTCTAAGGCCACACATGTACTGGTCTTTCTCGTCCTTAAACCCCTCTGAATGCCTTTCAGCTGGCTCTTCTCATAGTCACCTCTCATTTTGTGCAAGCCCTGGAAACAGTCCACACCTTCTGGGGGCTGCAGTTCCATCAGGAAAGCCGTAGGGTTCCCCAGAGGGTCTCAGAAACAATAATGGAGTGAGGAAGCCTGGGGAGCTGTCTCCCCACATCCCATGAGTTGACCTCCCATGCTCCCAACCCGAGGTCAGGCCAGCTTGGTACCTGAAGGCAGCAGCTGCGCCTTCACCACGCCGATCTCCACCTTCTTCCGGCTCAGGCTCACCAGCTTGTCCCCCATGTAGATAAGTGCTGGGACCAGGAAGTAGATGTGGAAACGGGGCAGCTGGATCAAGGCAAAGCTGCCGTGGATGATGAGCTGGAGACATGGCCAGTTAGTACAGCTCAGACCCAGCCGGCCAGCCCCCTTTCTGCACCCACTTTACCCAGATGCTTCCTGCCCAGGCCCTGGGCCTGGGCTGAGTGTGTGAGGCTGGCACAGCTCCACAGACTGTGGCCTCAGATCTCAAGGCCTCAGTCTAAGCCCTTGAGTCCAATTCAGCCTGCTCCCTCCCCACATCATGATGCTCATCTCTGCCCTGTGGCCTGGCCCTGCCAGAGAAGTCCCTCACCAGCACGTAGAGCAGGATGTAGAGGTGGTGGGTCAACCAGAAGCCCCGGAAGCTGCGGCGTCGGAAGTGGTGGGAAGCAAAGACGTACATGATGGCAAGAACCAGGAGCAGGAGCACCCCTGTCATACCTGGGGGCAGCGGGGACAGGGTCAGACAGTCCTGGTCTCAGGGCCTCAGCCTGGGCTGAGAGTAACAGAGAGCATGTCCCCATTCTGCCCTCCTTCCTTGGCCTCCTTCATTCCTCCCTGGCTCCCAAAACAGCTTAACCAAAGAAGCTGGAACTAAGGCTTGTCCTGGAGCCTGCAAATGGAAACTGTCAACACTATAGACAAGTGCATATTCATGGGAAGATGAGGACAAAATCAGAAGTCCTCAGACAGAGCCCCCAGACTCCACATACCATCTAATCTTTACCTGGGACTGTCTGGAAGAACCACCAGTAGAACTTCTGGGGAAGCTTGGACCTGTAGGACAAAGATACCCAGAACCTCAGGCTGGGGCAGGAAGAGCTCCACCACTGTTGCAATGTGACTCTGTTCCTGATGGCCTTGAATACAGAGGTTCCTGGGCTTCTACCCAGACGACCAGGGATCCTTCCAAAGAACATGGGCCCCAGCCTCCTGTGTTATACTCTCTGATCTCAAAGCAGTTCTTCTTCCTGTGTAATCCTGAATTCTCCTACTGCAGCCAACCTTTGCTTTCTTGAGTGCCTGGTTCATATTCTGTAAGCTCCGTGAGGGCAAGGAGCTTACTTCTATGCTCTATCACTGTGCTCAAACAATGCCAGGCACAGAGTCAGTGCTCAAGAAATACTTGTTGAACGACTGCATGTATCTTGGCATTCTTACTCTCTAGCTCTGGGATGGACATATAGACATGTTCCATAAATGTTTGCCCAGTGAATGGATGGCAGGCTGAGAAAGCAAGCTGTATGTCAAGTACACATGGGAAAGAATATCCAACTTCATCTCCCAAAGTCCTTTCCTGGCCAGTCATGGCCAGCTTTCTTCCTGAGGCCAAGAAATTCATCTCTCAGCTTCCTCGGGATGCTAACTTCTCACCCTCACTCAGTGATAGAGTGGAGAGTCGAGGGCCAACTACCTCTTTTCTGTTGTACTCTTAGGCTTGCCCCAGAATTCCCAAGGGGGGCCCTCCCCAGAACTGACCCATCATTCACAAAGACGCTGGGAAAGATGCAGGCCAGCAGACTGAGGGGGCTGACTGAGAAGATGTAGACATTCACCACGTGGCCAGCACTGTGCAAAACTGAAAGAGACAAATCCCGTTAGAGATGCCTCCCAGGGCCAACCCTAACTCCAGCCCTGAGGAGACAGGAGGCACGGGCAGGAGAGAAGGAAGTACAGTAGCTCCAGTCTCCCCACTGTCTCCCCCACAGCTAGAGCCAGGGGCCTGCAGCCACAGCAAGCATGCCCAGGTGCCACATACTGGCCAGGACCACCGCGGCCATGGCAATCCAGCGATGGAAGTCCACAGCGGCGTCGAAGGGCACGTAGCGGTTGAGGAAGGTCTCTCTCAGGAAGGTGATGAGGTTGCGGCACATGGTGAGCAGGATGTAGGAGAACATGAAGGAGACACTGGCCGCTGTGCCCCGCGACAGGATGATGCCCACAAAGGTGGTCTGTGCAATGCCCGAGGGTGGTGAGGCAAAGGTGTAGTCTGGGGGTAGAGTTGGGGTGGGTCAGCACAGCACAGAGGCCTGAGTCAGAACACCTAGGCCCCCCAGGCCAGATGCTGAGGTTCGGGAAAAACAACCAGAAGGCGCTCACACCTTCCCTCCTGCAACTTGAAACTTACAGTAAGCACGCTCCACAAACAGTCCGGCACAGATGGCCGAGAAGACAGCCACGCACACGATGTGCCGCCGGTAGTTCTCCACGAAGCGCTTGTACTGCTGCAGCTTCTGAGCCAGGAAGCCCCGCTGCATCTTCTCCTGCAGCGCCTCCGTGTACAGCCGGGGAGGGGCCACCCCTGCCCTGCAGCAATGGGAGGCAGGTGGCCTGAGGTCAGGGCACCCTTGCCTCCCCTAAGTGCCACCCTATGAAGGAGACCTGGTGCTCTGGCAGCGGTCAGGATGGGCCGCAATAGATGGGAGAAAAAGCTTTTGAGGGGTGACTCTCACTCTCCCAAGCCGTTACCACTCATCATGACTTGCCCTGTCCACCCACTCTTCCATCTCCCCACTACTCCATCTCCACTTCCTCCTCTCTGCCCTGTCCATCCCTCTTCCTGCTCCCTTCCCAGGCCTCACTGCTGTGCCCAAAGCAGGCAGGAGCCAGGGGACCCCTCCCTGCCATCTTGATGTTGCATGGAGTGTCAGGCCCCTGACCTGAAGAGTAAGGTGCAGAAGCTGGAAGAGGTTGAAGAGTCATTCGACTCAACAGCCTGCCAGCCAGGTCAGGGACATGTGGAATGAGTCTCAGGACAGTCTCTTGTGGGTGGAGGTGGGCAGACCGAGACTCTAAGACTTCTCCCTGTGTCTCCATGGATCAAGGGTCTGGAAAACACTCACTTTTTGCCAAACCTCTTCTTCAGCTCAGGGCCTCCCAACTCTGGAGCTTTCGAGGCAGGGAACCCCACTCCCTGAGGGCAAGAACTGAGGAAAGAAAAATGGGGCTCATGCTGCCCTTGTCTTTGCAGGCAGAAGAACTGCTAGGCCAGGGTTGGGGTGGGCTGGGAGGGGGTAGATCCTGGGATTCATTTCTGAATGAATGAACCTGCCCATAAAACTGATCAGAGAGGAGTCTAGCAGAAGGCAGGACCAAAGGAATGGATATGGTCAGGTCATCTTCTGTGTGATGACTGTGCCCTGGAGGGGCAGAGAGAGAGCCAGGTTCCTGTGGGTGTGGGTATGTGGGTATGTGTGTGAGGCAGCCGGAATACAGACTCAGAACAACCGTGCATTAAGAGCTACTTTCAGAGGGCAAATGTCTGGTCCAGGGGCTCATCTCCCCAGCCCTACTTGCTTTGTTTCTCTGCAGGGGATCCAGTCAGGACACCTCCCCATGCCCCATTCCTACTCACCGTTCCCCAGAAGTCCGAGTGATGAATGACACTCGAGAGCTGATGTTTGGTTTAAAAATGTCTCCAACACCTGGAGAGGAGAACAAGAAGCTGGACAGGCTTCCCCAAGAGTGTGGGGAGGTGACTGTCCTAGGATGGCTGCCGGGCAGTGACTTGGTCACATCCCCACATCCTCTCCAGCCTTGCTCCCCACATTGCCCACACCGAGCACCCACACAGGGTGGCCGCTGCTAGACAATGTGGCAACTTCATGCAATTAGGAAAAGGGTCCCCCCTCCAGTTGGATGCAGCCTTGCACATTCTCTGTATAGAGAAAACGGGGATTCGCCCTCTGGCCAGGCTCACCCCAGATCAATGTGCATGGTTGATGTGCAGCATGTAGGCTAGATTTCTGCCTGCCCTGACCCCTCCGTGGGCATCTTTGTGTACAAATTGCACAACTGTAGGCTACAGCCTTGATTACACATGCCTGACTGTACTAGCACCAAGGACTAAGAGAGAAGTAAGACCTGAGTGCTATGCACCAGGAACTTGCATTTTGAAGATGCGCCCATCCCTGACACCTTCCAGACTCACACACCTCCTCCTCCACCTCTGACACAGAGCTGTGTTCGGCGGAGCTCGCTGTCATGGTCCCGCAGCATGAAGTGGAAGTCCTCCCACGTCAGCTCCTGCTTGTCCTGGAAGCCTGACTCCCGGAACATGGACTCCACCACCTCAGCCAGCTGGGCCTTGGTCAGGCAGTTGTTGGAGATCTCGATGAAGGACCTGGGTTGGGGGTGGGGGGAACCCGAGAAGAAAGCAGCCTGTCACCTGGTCAGGTCAGGTTCAGGCAGGTGCTGGGTGGGGCAGGCCCCAGACTATCTAGTGTGGTTACCAGTGACCCAGGAAGTGGCACCAAGAAGGTGTTCATCCAGCCTGCTGCTGACGCTAAGCTGGGTGGGGTGGCCACGGCCCAAAAGGCAGAACAAAACTGAAAGTGACCTTGACCAGTTAGAGAAAGCAGCCCTCAAACGGGGGGCATCTACAGCTGGGATAAATGTCCACTGAGTGTAGGGATGTGTCCAGGTGGGCCATGGCCCACTCGAGTGGCAGCCTCTCTCGTGTTGATACCTCCCACACCTCCGCCGGGCACCCCATTCATGGTCGAGTGGGGGCACAGACAGTCGGGAGTTGGGGGAGGAGATGTAGCCGCAGTGGCTTCTGCTTCCTTGTGCCAACACCCCGGGGCGCAGGCAGAAGTGTCTCTACACCCAATGAGACAGCACCTACAGTGGCCATACTTTTATCTTAGGTGCGCTTTGGGACAAAAGCAACACACGCACATTTGTGTTGAGTCCAACAGAAAAAGAGCTTTGCCTGCATGGCATGGCAAACAACTGCCATCACATTTTTTAAAAATACATCATCCCACTTGCTCAGGGTGAGACTGAGCCAGAGCCACGCTGAGTATAGGATGAGGAGGTGGGAGCTTAGCCCCCAGGGGCAGAAACCCTCTCCCAGAGGTCCTGCAGCAGCACACCCAGCGAGGGACAACTGCAATCCACTTCGCCCTAGCCCTTTCAGAAGCCCACATCCAGTTGTTGTATCTGGCCAGCAAAAGAGGTGGCAGTGAAGGGGATCACTGAAAGCAATGAGTAAGGTTTTCAGGGATATAAAAGTTAAAAGGATCTGAGCTGTTTTGTGCATTCTGTTTATTCATTTGCTCATTTGTCTCATCTGATTCAGTTGCCTATGCATCAAATGGCTGCTATGTGCCTATCACAGTGCGGAGGAGGTGGATGAGATATGAATAATGTCCTTGTAGAGCTGCAGGAAGCTGTGTTACTGGAGCACTGTCTTTCAAGAATAAGATGACTGTGAGCCCAAAATTGGTCTTTATTGGCACACCACAACCAGAAATCGCTTAAGAAGCAGGAAGAGAGAAGGGTTGAAATATAGAACAACATCCCGTTTTTCTCCTCCTGCCTGTCCTAGTGATTAACATCGGCAGTGATCAAGGGCATCTGTCCTCCAGGATTCATGATCTCACTGTGTAAAGCACAGCCTTAGAAGAGTCAGCCAAGACCTAACTTCCCTGGTGGTCCAGTGGATAAGAATCCGCCTGCCAGTGCAGGGGACATGGGTTCAATCCTGGTCCAGGAATGCCCCACATGACTTGGGGCAACTAAAGCTGGTGAGCCACAGGTACCGAGCCCACTTGTCTAGAGCCTGCACTCACAACAAGAGTGTAGCCCCTGCTCGCTACAACTAGAGAAAGCCCACATATAGCAATGAAACCCAGTGCAACCAAAATAAGAAAAAATTTTTAAAAAAGAAGAAGAGTTAGCAAAGAACTGACAGCATCCAAAAAAGGTTGGTTGGCCTTGTTACTGGTCATCTTGATGTTGCTTGTGTTTTTTCACTTGGGAAAATTTTCTGGCTGGTGTTGGCTGAAGAAACAGACCCTTCTGGGGGCAGGGGCCTGACCAGATAAACTTTGAAGCTGGATGCTCTGGGTGTCTAGGATGCAGTATCTAGGCCACCTCTCAATGCAGATGGCCACATAACCTCCTCACCTACCGTCCTCTGACCTGACCTGTTTTCCTGTTTAAAATAGCAGGACATCTCAGGACTGGAGGGGCCCACCCCGTACCGCATCATGGTGAAGAACTCGTCCTTGGAGAGGAAGCCATTGCCATCAAGGTCATACATGGTGAACATCAGGCGGGACTTGTCCTCCGGGGAGCCTGGGAAGAGACAGGGGGACCCCAGTCACCTGTCTGCTCAAAGACACCTGGCGCCTGGGATGGCCCACCAACCCCTCACCTTTCATGAAGACCACCAGGACGTCTAGGAACTCCCGGAAGGACAGGTACCCATTGCCATCCTTGTCAGCCAGAGAAAACATGGACTCCACAAACATGTCCTGGGGCTTGAGGCCCAGGGACTCGGCGAACTCGGCCCGGCTCAGCTCACACGTCAGGGCCTCCCGTACCTTCTGCGATGAGTCCAGGAGCAGGGTCCCTGCATCCACCTGGTTGATGTCCAGCACCTGTACTTGGACAGCAGCAGAGGGAGGGAGAGGAAGAGTTGAGGCCTGGGCTGGAAGCAGTTCAGTGACCCTTCTCACCTCTCGAAGTCTGGGTCAGAAAGGTGAACTGCCTTGGGCTTCTGCTCTCCTGCAGAAGGGAGACTATAGCAGGGGATGGGGTGGGAGCAAGGAGGGACAGTGTTTGGGAATGCAAAGTGAAAGAGCCTGCACCGGTGACAGAAACTGCAGCAGACATGAATGGATAGGCAGGAAGGGGCTAAAGATATGCTCTTTTGTCAGTTCAGACAGGGATGCCATGTGCCTGATTTTAAAAGTCACATACATGTAACTTATTATTGTTGTTTAGTGGCTAAGTCATGTCTAACACTTTTGCGACCTCATGGACTGTAGCCCACCAGGTTCCTCTGTCCATGGGATTTTCCAGGCAAGAATACTGGAGTGGGTTGTCATTTCCTTCTCCAGGGGATTTTCCTGACCCAGGGATTGAACCTGCATCTCCTGCATTGGCAGGTAGATTCTTTACCGTTTAGCCACCAAGGAAGCCCATATATGTAACTTCCATGCATTAAATGCAATCATGTACCAAGCACTTGGGCTAAATACATTGTACATAAAACAGTGTTTATCAAACTTTAGAGTGAATCAGAATCCTCTGGAGGGCTTGTGGGTCCTAGCTTCAGAGTTCCTGATTTTCTAGATCTGGGAGAAGGGCCTGAGGACTTGAGTTTCTAACAAATTCCCAGATGAGGCTGTTACTGTTGGTCCAGGGAGCACACTTCGAAGACCACAAATGTCGACTATCTCCCTGAATCCTCATAACCCAAGGGGATGGATCCTATTTTAATCACTCTTTTATAGATGAGGAAACTGAAAACAGAGCAGAGGTGATGTAATTTGCCTAAGGTGATGCCCTGCTAAGTCATGTCAGTCATGTCCGACTCTGTGCGACCCCATAGATGGCAGCCCAATAGGCTCCTCTGTCCCTGGGATTCTCCAGGCAAAATTACTGGAGTGGGTTGCCATTTCCTTCTCCAATGCATGAAAGTGAAAAGTGAAAGTGAAGTCGCTCAGTCATGTCTGACTCTTAGCGACCCCATGGATTGCAGCCTACCAGGCTCCTCCATCCATGGGATTCTCCAGGCAAGAGTACTGGAGTGGGTTGCCATTGCCTTCTCCAAGGTGATGCCCTAGTGAGTAGCAAAACCTGGGTTCCACCGGGGCTGTCTGTTTCCAGCCCGCAGGACAGAAGCTCAGTTCACCCTAGATAGGGTACTGTCCAGCCCAGATTCCCTCCTACCCCTGGGCCCCTTCTGCCTCCAAAAGGCCTGGTCATAGCACCTGGGCAAAAAGGTGTCTGAAGAAAACCTCCAGGATGCGTTCCCGCTGCTCTTTGGTCACAGCTTTCCTGAACAGCTCATACTCGCTCATCTCAGCCACGTCTAGGCCCAGAGCCCAGTTCTCACAGAAGCCCCGCAGATGCTGCACGAAGGCACCCCGCTCCTCCTGGGAGTTAAACAGCAGCACCTGGCAGAAGGAAGGCCGTGCCAGTGCTCAAGCTTCTGGCTCAGCCTTCCCTCAGAGGTCCTTGGATTGGGGGAAGGAAACTAAAAGGCCCCCATTTCAACCCGGCTAGGGCCAGGTGAGTGGCCCAAGTGGGTCAGAGGGAGAGTTGGGTGGGGACCTCGGAAAGAAGTGCCTCCTCCCAGTGTCAGCCCTCACAGACAAGCCCTGCAGCTGAGGACGGGGTGACATGAGAGGACTCGCCATGAGAAGGGAAATGGGCGAGGGCAGCCCAGGCTGGGGAGGCTGGCTGGGCCATACCAGATCATACTCCTTGGGGATCTTGAGCAGCAGGGCGCGGCATCCACGGTTGCTGGACAGGATGAGGTTGACCTGTTGTGGGGGCTGCAGCTGGATGGTGCGGAGCACAGAGAGCCGCCGGTCCACAACCTGCAGCCGCCGGTCTGGGAGCAGCTGGATGGTGACTGGATAGCCCCTCTCCCGGGGGCCCGGCCACTCCATCGCTAGGGAAGGAACGACAGGCAGGGCAGAGCATTTCAGCAGAGCTCCCCAGGCCCTGGCCCTCAGGCCAGTTCCAGTCTGAGCCGGCACCCCGAAGCCTGGCTTTGTCCCCACATCTGTAAGCTGGTTCTTTCACAGCACCCCACACCTTTGGTTCTCTTCCCCCTTCCCTCCCCTTGGCCCCATCTCACCTGATACTCCATCACTGGCTGGTTCCTTCTTCACACTCTCTTTGCATTTCCTTTGGAGCTTCTTGTGCTCTCGGCCCCGGAAATAGGCCACCACCCCGGAGATAAGCAGGCTCACTGAAGGGGGTCAGAAGGAGCCAGTGGGGAGAGGAGCCCCTCACCTGTGGGTTCACCAAGGCCCTGGCTGCTGCCCCTCCCTTCCTAAGGCCCCCTGAGGCTGGCTTCAAATGAACTCAGGACTGAACCCTACAGGTCAGTCAGTAACAAGGGGTGGGGACAGTCCGTGGAGAGGAGGGGAACTGAGAGAGAGACATGGGCGAGAGGGCTGAAGGGCTTACCTAGTGGAAGACAGCACAAAGCCACGATGGTGATGCCAAAACCAGGGCCACTGCCCTCGAAGTAATGAATCTCGGTCAGGGGCACACAGGGGGGCAGGTCTTCGATTGTGAGCTGTCGGGGCTGAGGGCAGGGTGCACCTGCGGGAAAGGCACAGAAGGTCTCAAGGCCTGAGCATCCCACTCCTTAGCCAGGCACCCTTCCCCTCTTCTCCTGCAAAGGGCCAGGTAACACTCCCTCCCAGACCCACCTCCCTGGAACTTGTTCCCCTCAAAAGTTCCTCTTCCACATCCCACCTCTCAGCATCCACCCCAACCCGACCACAGGGTGCCGCCTGCAAACCAGTCTAGTCTCTACTGGGGGAGGTACCTAATGCAGGCCTCCCAGACCAACACAGAGGGAACTGCCTGGTGCCTAGCCCCTGAGACAGCACCAAGGGACCCCCCCCACACACAACCTCTGCCCTTCTTCTGCCACCATTGCTTGTGCTCTCCCAGGCCACCCACCGTTCTGCCAGATAAAGACATTGGGCTGCAGGGTGTCAGGGTCCACATTGGTGACAGCCACCAGCACATCCCGAAGAGTGGTGCTTCTAATTTCTGCAATTTCCTCTGGAGAGAAGAGCCTAAGTTGGGGAAAGCCAGAAATTGTTTGGGATGAGAAGGGGGTCACAGGTCTCCAGCAAACTCGGGCCTGGGGACCCAGATGAGAAAAATAGACCCAGAGGTGTTGGAGGGGGAGTTGTGGGCCAGCTGGGAGTCAAGGGCCCATGGGGTCCATTCACAGGCAGAGAGTCTGGGGTCCAGGCCGAGACAGAGTCTGAGGCGGGAGTCAGGCAGGCCTTACCCATTCCTGCTGTTCTCAAACCAGTAGCGGTCGCCATCCCGCAGTCGCACAAACTGATCAAGGACGATGGTGCTGAAGAGGGGTCCAGGGTTCCCGTGGCTCTCCAGAAGCCCCCCTGGGAGTAACTCCAGCCGGGACAGATCCTGGTTGTACAGGGCTGCCGTGGCCTCCAGCACCTGGGGCACCACAGGAGGTGAGGGGTGTGTGAGTATACGTGTGTGGTATTGTGTTGGGAGGGCGGCCACTACTGCCCCATCCCTCAAACATGGGACCCCATCCGCAGCCTGGCTTGCAGCTCAGCCCTGAGGGAGTCTCCTCTTTCTAGGCAGCCCCCTCAGGTGGTGACAAGTCTGGTGGGAGGACCAGTGTATCACCACCCAGACTGCCTGTCTCCAGTGACCAGCAGATTCAGGGCCACCCATCTCATGGGGAGAGACCCTGCAGGAATACGACAATGGCTCCCCACCCAGGGCTCACTCTGCAGAAATGGTACAGAGTAGCGGTGAGGATACTCTGGAATCAGATGCCTGAATTTGAGTCCTGCCTCTGAGATGGACTTAACAATTATGTCATCTGTAAAATGGGGACAATGATGGTGTCTACTCTATAATGTTCTTCACACAGATTAAATGTGTTACACATGTAAAGGACTTAGTATCACCTCAAGAAAGCTTTAGTTGCCATTATTATCATCACTATTTCTGACCTGAGGGTCCACCTTGGGGTTGAGGTCACTCCAGTTCCTCGGGGTCTTCAGCCCCAAGGCCTGCAGAGCTTGGGTATAGCTGGGCAGCCCCATATCTCGGCCACGTTGGATGCTGCTGGCCACGTAGTCAGTGCGAGAGAACTTGCCAGGACCAGGCCAGTAATCTAAGGAGGAGAGAGGACCCCGCTCTAGGCTCAGTCCCCCTAACCCTTCTTTACCCAGCAGCCTTGAACTGGGTTGTTGGCATCACCCATATCCAGCACATGTCAATGTCACCATGTGTGACCAGGGGCAATTTTTCTGGCAAAACTCTTCCCCTAAGACTCAGGATGGTTCTAGTCACCAAATTCCCTGTCCCACCTCCTTAACTTCAAGATGGAGCTGGACAAAAACTTTAAGAGACCTAAGTGCCAGAGATTGTGGTACCCCCCATATACTCAGATGTAGGTAGTTTAGAATAGTTATTTTCCTCTAATTTTTTCTAATGGCTGTTTGCTGTGTGTGTGTTCCTACACTGTAGGCACGCTAGGCCTACCTGCTGACTACCCAGAAGGGTCCCCAGGCTCACAGACCTCTGGGCCCTCATCCCCTCTTCTTCCAGGGCTTACCCCTCAGATCTTCCACCACGGTACTGTCCTCCAGCTCTGAGATCTGGGAGGCCATTCCCAGCAGCAGCTGATTCACTGCCTGAGCGCTGTTCAGATTGGGATTCTAGAAAGAAACAGCACACTCAAGGTCTGTCCTCAGGCTCCTCCCCAGAGGGGGTCCCTCTCACCCAGACCACTGCAGCACCCCAGGACAAAGGGCCCTGGGCCAGTCCTAGACCCTGTTGAGCTGCTGTCCCCAGATAATTTTCTGATCACTCTACCTTCATCTCCCACCACCCTGAGGCAGCAACACCTGTGAACTGGAATTGTTGCTTTTCCCAGCCTGTGTGACAAGACTGACCTTGACCCACCTTCCCTTGTCCCTGACCCCAGGCTGACCTCCCGAATCCAGTAACTGTTGCAGACTCTGAGAGCTGGGGAGCTGCCAAAACCCTCGTTCAGGACCATCTGGAAATGACAGCTGGCATTTCTGAAATGGGGAATCAAGGATTCGGTAAAAGAATTCAAGGAGGCTGGGGTGGGGCTGATGTGGGGTGAGGCATTCAGAGGGCATTTGGTGAGTGTTCAGGGGTGTCCTCTGAACTTCCTTGACTGTGGCAGGGATTTGGCAATCAGCGTGGACTGAAGGTAGAGGTTGCTCTTTGTCCACACAGGGTAGGAAGGGAAGGAGGGAAGAGAGTGACACAGCTGCTGGACAAATCCTGCTCTCAGCAACAGAAGTTCAGCTGTTAGGAGGAAATGAGGAAACCTCCCTGTTAAGACTGGACTCCTACCCCAGGGTTCTGTTTCAGGGTACCAAATTCTGCTTCTCTTTCCCCATGAGCCTGTGGGGGTGGGGTGTATGAAAGGTCCCGGGCCCCAAGGCCACTGAATCTTCACCTCTGCCAGTGTGCTGCTCAGCCAGACCCTCCCTCACCTCATGTAGACGCCAGGGGGCACCATGGTGGAGAAGAACTGCTCAGAGGCAGCCAGGAACTCCGGGGAGATGCTGGGGTCAAGGAAAGGGCGGTATCCTGGCAGGAGTGGAGAGGAGATAGGATTGGTAAGATTGAGCCCTTAAATCACCCAACTTCCCCCCGCCCCCACCAAAAAAGTTCCAGCAAGTTCTCCCTTCCTCCCTCCCCATCCACTCACCTGCATATTCCGGGGGCATTTTCCGCAGGAAGCTGGGCAGCCACTCATACATGGCGATGTTCTGAGGGTCAAGAGAGGGGAAAGGGGAGGCCAGCGCTGGAACAGCCAGGCCACGAGAGATCTGAGCTCAAGGAAGGCCTAGGTGGGAGATGAGGACCAGGCAGGGGCAGTCATGGGAGAGACTCTCAGACAGAAGAGGTGCGGAGGTTCCTGTTCCCCACAAGCAACCTGGGCAAGCGGGTGGGGAGCGGGCTGCGAAATGATAATGACTGGAAAACCTCCTGCAGGAGCAGCGCTTTGCCTGCTTATCACCCTCAGGGGCTTTTCCTAGACGGCAGCTCTCTGGAGAGGGGGTGTTTCTGGCGGGGTCGTCCAGGACCGAGGGCTCTGGAGTCTCCCGGGGACCAGGCCGTGGGGGACCCACCTGGTAGGTGGCGATGACCCTCTTGCGCGCGTGCTGAAACAGCTCCTCGTCCCCCCAGAGCGGATGCCGGCGGGCCAGCCTCTGCGCCCACAGGTTGTGATAGCGGAACCAGAGCAGACCCAGCGCCTGCAGGAAGGGCTCGCGGTTCCCTCGCTCGGCCCCGAAGGCTGCACGCACCGCGGGGACGCAGGGAGGAGATGAGCGCGGGCTGGACCGCCGGGCGCCCCTCGCCGTCCCCCGCCCGCACCTCGCCCGGCCCCCGCCGCCTCACCGTACAGCCCCCGCGGCCCGCGGCGGCCCGTGGTGGGATCCGGCGGTGTCCACATGAGCAGCGGGGCCTGCGCGGCCCGCGGGAAGGCGGGGTCGGGCCCCGACGCCAGCTGCCCCCCGGAGAAGCTCCGCAGCTCGTCGCTCCAGGAGTGCGAAGAGCCGTAGATGGCGCTGCCGTCCAGCCAGCCGGTCGCCTCGTTGGTCTGCGGGGACGGCGGGAGGCTGAGCCGGGGGTCGGGCGGCCAGGCGGGTCCGGGAGGGCTGAGGGCCCGCGGGTGTCGTGGGGGCGGCGGGATGGGATCGTCAGCCCCCCATCCCCGCCTGCCGCGCTCACCAGGTCCCGGGGGTTGCTGGGGCTCTGTCCGGTCTCGGGGTCCCAGCGACTCCTCTGGAAGGGCAGGACCACGTCCCCGCTCCGGTCGCGGTCGAACACCGGGTCTCCGGGCGGGATGTGGATGTTGAGGAACTCGGCTGGGCAGCCAGACTTTTCCACGCTCACCAGGTCTGACAGCACGTGGTAGCCTGCGGGCGTGGTGTTCAATCTGGTAAGAATTGCTATTCCCCACCGACAGGGAGCCTAAAGACAGATGTTCCAATTCAAGCGCCGCACCACCAGCTCTAAAACTTTCTTCTAAACTGTAAAGTGGGGTTATAGTACCCTCCTCGCCCACCCCCATCACGTCGTGGTGAGAATCAAAATAATACAATAAATGTAAGGGCTCCCTGGAGCCAGTCCCCATCTCCTAACAGATCGTGCCTCCCCCTCCCTCTCCGGAGGTAAAGAAGTTAATCCTCACAATGGGAGGAGAGGGGCGGCAGGGGACCTAGCTCCAAGGAGCTACAGGGAAGGCTAGTGGCACTCCTGGGTTTGGAGTAAGGATAAGAGAAAGATTAGGAGAGCAAAATAACCGCTGGTTAACACCCTCAAATCCTTCCAAGACGAACAAAGGCTCCAAGTGTAGCCTGAGGGGATGGGTTGGGGGACGGTGAGGACGTGGTTCGAAGGAGGTGGATCGGTGTCCTGTGGACTTGCAAAGCGGCCTCAGGGCCCCTCTCCCTAGGCGCTGAGCTAAGCGCCTGGTCAACCCTCACCGGAACTGTTCTCCCATTTGCCCTCACCGAAGAAGACCCCCAGGACCGTGCGATTGCGGCCGGACGGCCTCCCGGCGCTTCCCCGCGTGGTGGCGTTGCTGAGTCGGCGCGGGTTGGGCAGCAGCGGCTCCCCGAGAGCCTGATACACGCCATCCGCGTAGTTGGCCGGTACAAGGCGCTGCAGTCGGGAGCCTGTGCGAAGCAGGGAGCCGGGCTCCGTCAGAGCACGCCGTTCCCAACAAGCCCTTGAACCTCGCCCTACACCTCCCTCCAACCCCCACCCCCACCGACGAGACCCCTTCTTCAGTCTTCAGGTGTGTATAGGAGCTGGCTGCTCAGGCAGCGGGGCGGCTGTCTGGCGCGCTCCCTCCCCGCCAGCTTCTCCGCGCCGGGTCTCCCTCATCCCTGCCTTCCACTAGCCGTTCTCCACCCCAGGTCGCAGGACGCACCCGCAGCGCCACGCTCGTGGTGCCTCAGATTGTTGAACCAGCCGTCATAGCGCTGCACTTCCCAGGTCAGTGAGAGTGAGTCCTGGCCACCTGTGGGTCAGAGAGTGGTCCGCTCATTGCTAGCTTCCTTGCGACCCCTGGGGGACACGATGGCCTCGGTCTGCGTCTCCAACCAGCCGAGGGCCCCCAACCCGACCCAAGTGGCGATGCTCGCGCGGGGAAGTTTCCCATCTCGCTGAACCGCGCAGCGATCTCACCACATCTTCCAGCCCCAGGAAGCCTCTTGCCTGCACCAATCCCTTCCCCAACTCCTAAGGGAACTAGTGCCTGGTACTTACCCGTTGGATCCAGGAGTAGAGTCAGCAGAACTCCCAGGAGCTCCAGTACCTCTGGCCTTGCGCGGAGCATGTTGACCCTGCGACCAGCGGGGTGGGAGGTGGTACATGAGGGATACAGAGCCAGCCTCCCCCACCGCCGACAGTTGGCGCGAGCTGTGTCCACCACCATTTCTGGAGCGAAGCTTTTAGAAGTCTCGCCAAGGACCCACACCCACAGGGCACTTTTTAAAGGGCACAAGCCTCTCATATCCCTCAGTGAATACCTGTCTATGGACACTGAGGGATGGGAAGATCAAGTCCCATGTACCGGTCCAACCTCTGGCTTAGGGACACCGTCCGGGTCAGAAGTCTTTTTCTTGGAATCTTTGCCTCTCTGCTCTGCTCCCTGCCTCTACCCACTGCCTCCCTCCCTCCTCAACTCCGCAGATCCTCAGCCTCCGCCGGCTTCACTCTCACCCTCCTCTCTGCATCCTCTGAGGCCGGCTGTGCAGACGTTCCACTTAGGCTAGACCAGCGCCAGATGTGAGCATCTGGACCGGGCCGCTCCCTCTTGCTAGGCGGGTGGGGCTCGTCTAATTTGCATAATGACCTCAGCTTCTTATTTGCATGATCTTTTCCCTCCGGGACCCAGCTGCAAAGTCCCGACCGCTCTCTGTACGCGGCCCACGCTGCTATAAAAGGGGTTTCAGATCCAATGCGACTTCCAAACGCAGAGCGAACCCTCAGAGCCCGCTCTCCCACTTACCTAACTCGGTCTCGGCCAATCCAGAGCGCCTGAGGGCAGTTAGCTGCTGGCTTCCTTAAAGGTGAGCCGAGTCGCTCAGACTTGACTTGTCCATTGGGTCCAGTGCTGGCACGCAGGGAACAGAGTAAAGGGAAGTGGCACCATTTCTGTGCACCGTCTGGACTCGGAGGCCAGTGATCACTCTGCCCGCTGGAACACACCCAGCTCAGCCGGGCTGCAGCATGACTCTGTGGGATGGTGTGCTGCCCTTCTACCCTCAGCCCCGGCATGCGGCCGGCCTGAGCGTCCCACTACTCATCGTCATTCTCGTTTTCTTGGTCTTGGCCGCCAGCTTCCTGCTCATCTTACCCGGGATTCGTGGCCACTCGGTAAGGGGGTAGTAGAAGCTCTGGTCTGGGGGGGGGAGGGATGGAGGGCGTCATGGACAGCTTGTCTCTGGAGAACCCAGGACAGGTAGGAGGGCGGCAGGGTCTTTCATGAAGTCAGACTGAAGCACACTGAACCAGAGGAACACCAGTAGTTCATCTGAACTAACTGTTCACTGAACCAAAACACCAGGGGGAGCACACCAGTAGTCTGGTCCAGCACGCACCCTTTCCCAAGAATAGGGAGAGAGCCTCCGCTGGACATTCAGAGAGGACCCCCAGGTGGAACGTTCAGGAGGCTGCTGCAGAGAGTGGGCGTCCAGTCTGGTAATCCTGGGGTCAGTTCAAGATTTCACCTGCTGCAGGGACCTCCTCCTGTCCCCAGGCTGCACCTCCACTCCCTTTCCACCCCCATCCTGACCTCCGGGTGATGACCGTCTGGCTAAGAGGACAGAAAACAGCATCTCAGACTGCTGTGTTTCACCTCTGCTCTTGGTTGTCATGTGCCCCCATCCTAAAGACTTCTGCACAGCAATTTCTTCAAAGTTGTGGTAAACTGGGCACTTTTTCTTAGATTTCCCCCCCTCCCAGAACCTTGGTTGTCTGTTTCTCAAGGCTCCCCAGGTCTTGTGTTTGTTTTCTGGGAAACTGGCATGCCTAGTAATATCTGAGATGTAGTGTCCCACCTCCTCCACCTGGTGACCAGACCCTGAGGCCTCCCTCTCCTGAGGGAGGTGACCCCTGCCTGCCTAGCACTTCTGGACTCACTGAGCTTCACCATGGCAGTGAGCCGAGCCGGAGGCAGCACCAGGGGTAGGAACTGGATAGCCAGAGAAGAAAGGTTGTGGGGGTGGTGGGAGAGCATAAGGTAGAGACAGCCCAGCGGCAGGGTGGACTGGGAAATGGGGCTAGGGAGGTAGAAACACACAGCCAGAAAGCATCAGACATGCTAGTGGTTCAGAGGGACTTGCATGACTTGACTTCAGCCTTTAAAGGTCAAGAATGTAACTGGGAAAGAGAGGGAAGTTGCAGAGGCACTAACGGCCAGGGCAGCGTGGGGTCAAGGGAGGTCTGCAGCAATCTGGTTAGGCACTATCCAGACCTGACCCAGTGTATGTTCCTGCAGCGATGGTTCTGGTTGGTGAGAGTTCTTCTCAGCCTGTTCATAGGAGCAGAAATTGTGGGTGAGTGTGTCATGCAGTGGATGGGGAGAGGACCTGGGGTGAGGAAGGGGGTGGCAAGAGGACCCTTGGGCAAGTGGAGAACTTCGGTTGGGTTCCCACTCCTTCCTATTCTCTTTCTAGTGCCCATGCTTACACCCTTACCGCGTACATGGATTGGGCTCTAGACGACCCCCCCCAACTCTGTGCACCATTTCCCACCTCCCATCACCACTCTCCCAATTGCACGTCCCCAATCTTCTCCCTGACCTTTCCCCGCCCCTACCGTGTGCGTCTCCCCACAGCGGCGCACTTTAGCGCAGAATGGTCAGTCGGCAGCGTTAGCACCAAAACATCCTACAAGGCCTTCAGTGTGGAACTCGTCCGAGCCCACGTCGGTCTGCATGTGGGCCTGGAGGGCGTTAATATCACACTCACAGGTGAGGAGGCTGCGGCTACGTGAGCTCCTGGGGTTGGCAGACAGACACCATGGGTGGGGGAGGGTAGCAGGGGCCGTTGGGGGACCTGTGAGGACAGATCCCACAAGTTTAAATAGCTTCTGGCTCTCACTGATTTGTGTTTTCCTCAACCGCTGCCAAACCCACTTCTCTCTCTCGGAGTCTCACTTTCCCAACTGAATCCGCTTAGTCTCCGGGTCCTAGCTGTACGCAGCCCGGTGACCTCGCCGCCATCCGCAGGGACCCCCGTGCAGCAGCTGAACGAGACCATCGACTACAACGAGCAGTTCATCTGGCGGGTGGGCCAAAACTATGCCGGGGCGTACGCGGAGGCCCTGGAGAAGGGGCTGCCGTACCCGGTTCTCTATCTGGCGGAGAAGTTCAGTCCGAGCAGCCCCTGCGGCGTTTACCGCCAATACCGCCTGGCGGGACACTACGCCTCGGCCACTCTATGGTGAGAGGACACTCTGCGTACTTGCGCGCGCTCGATCTCTCTCGCGCGCGTTTGTGTGTGTGTATGTGGCAGGGGCGGGGGTGGGGGTGGGGTGGGGGCGCGTGAGCCGGATACGCGCTTGGGGTGAGAATCGCAGCCTCGGGGGCAGGTGGTGACGAGGTCGGTAGCGGCCACGGGAATCCGAAGAGAACCAGAAACGGCTGGGCGTCGGCTTCCCTCCTCCCGTATTTCTCTGCGCCTCTGCCATCCCAGCCCCAGACTTTGGTTCTTGGTTGGGATGCAGAGCCAGCGAGCCCGCGGGAAGCCGGGCGTGCTGGGGGACCCGGCTCACAGCGCCGCCGCCCCCTCCTCGCAGGGTGGCCTTCTGCTTCTGGCTCCTCTCCAACATGCTGCTCTCTATGCCGGTTCCACACTACGGAGGCCTGGCTCTCCTCATCACCGGCGCCTTCGCGCTCTTCTCGGTGTTCTCCTTCGCCTCTATCTCCAGCGTGCCTCTCTGCCAGCTCCGCCTCGGCTCCTCCGAGCTCACCACTCACTATGGCGCAGCCTTTTGGATCACGCTGGCCACTGGTGAGGACCGAGGGAACACGCCTCCGGTGGCTGGGAGCGGGGACGGGATTTATACCAGTGTGCGCTTTCCAGTTTGGATAGTGAGTTCACATAAATTATCTGATCTGTCCCGCTCAATAGTTCGTAGACGCTGGCACTGTTACATCTATTTTGCAGATGAGGGGGACCGAGTTCGGAAGGGTTCCTTCAGTATCTTACCCCACTGAGCATGAGAATCCGCGTATCGTGTATTCCATACTAGAGATCTTTCTGCGCGCGCGCGTGTGGGGGGGGGGGGCGGAGGAAGTGCAGATACCTCTCATAAATGGAGATGGGGAGGCCGGGCTTTGAAGCCCTGACAGCCCCCTTTACTCACCCCCAACCCCGCCCTGACTGTGCTGTCGCAGGCGTCCTATGCCTCCTCCTCGGAGCCGCGGTGTTGAGTCTGCACTACGCTCGGCCCAGCGCTCTTCGCCTCTTCTTGGAAGGAAGCGTCAAGGACCTCGAAAGTCCGACGAAGGAGAGCTCGCCTCTCATCCTCAGCAACCCACTGCATAAGCAGTTCAGGGCCTCGGACTTAACCATCAGTACTAACCTGTGAAAGGACTCAACGTCGGACTCCTACTCTGCCTTGGTCCGCGCAGGCCGGGGTGCGGTGCTCGCCGAGCGGAGGAGCTCCGGGAGCGCGGTGGGAGAGGCCGGTGGCCTCAGATGTGACCCCCGCTTCGGGGAGAGTCTCCCAGGGTGAGCTGGAAATAAATTCTTTCTGTTTCTGTTTTCTAAAAACTTTCCTTCATTACCTTACCCGGCTTTTCAAGGCTTTCCGGGCATACCAGACTTCCCTAGGTTGGAGGTAGTCTAGTACACTCTCAGCATTGCCACTCACGCTGGGTTCTGTCTGTCTGAAAAATGCAGAGTAACCCGGGAGAGGGTGCCCTCTAGTGAGTCCAGGGAAGAACCAACCAAAGCCAGCATCCTCCTGAGCTCCCCCGAGGGGATGGTAGCAGTGACCAGACAGGTCTTCCCAGCTCCCCACTCTTGCCACTGGCCCCCTGGGATCCCTCTCTGCTGAGTGAGCTCGGAAGAAATATTATTTTGGAGTTTATTCACTACTTTAGTTTATTTATTCATCAAAGGAGTGGTGTCTGAGGGCCAAGCTATGTCAGCAAGGCATAAAGATGTAAACCCTGGGAATTTTTTAAGGTCCTTGGCAAATCCTACAATTTTATTTGGCAAATTTAGAACAGAGGCTCGGAGAGAATGCAGCACACTAAGTTAATATTAGATCTGAGACAAGAAGTTTGGTCTCTTCTCCTTTGCAGTACTTTCTTTTTTTTGTTTGTTTGTTTGTTTTTTTAAAATACTAAATTAGTGACTTGAATATAGGTTTTGTTATTTCAAGGTGCCATTTCAAAGGGCTTTTGTCAACATTCTATTTTGAAATAATTTCAAACTTAAACAGAAGTTGAAAGAATAGTATAAAGGACTCCTGTATACCCTTCACACAGATTCAGCACTTGGCAACATTTACTTTATCATTTCTCCACTATAGATAGATAGATCTCACCTCTGAACCATTTGAGAGTAAGTGGCAGCCATCATATATACATATCCCTTTACCTCTGAACACTTCGGTGATGTTTTACTCTCTATTTCCTCAGAACAAGAACATTCTATTACACAGTCACCATATAGTTGTCAAAACTAAGAAATTTAAAGTTGATATAATAATGTTATATAACTTATGACCAGTATTCAAATGTTGCCAATTATTGTAATCTTGAAAGGACTCTTCCTAATTAGTATTGAAATCACAGTATTGATATCTTGGCATCATCCTTACTATTTGGGGAACATTAGAATTAATATATTAAGTGATTGCTTAAGGCGTAGATATGACTTTCATTGTATTAGTGAAATCACACCAGCTGGGGCAGTAAAAGAGGAACAAAAGGGACCCAGGAAAAAGGAAATCAAAGACATGCAGAAGGATAAGAGGGACCACAGGAGAATCACACTGTAACCCCGCACACACACATGTCGTTATGTGGGTGAAGCCAGGTCTCAGTAAATGCCACCTTGAGGCAAAGCTCCAGGGGAGAGCAGGGTTGCTAGGCAGAAACAGGTAATCTCTGCTTGGTCTGGTTTATGGGCAGCCTCGATGTCTGCCTTAGGGCTTTATGTTTTGTTCCACTTTTACATCAATAGATAGAGCTTCTTTCCCTATTCCACTTTCAGATTGGGGCCGGGAACTGATACAACCCAGCCTGTTGGCAGTTCTGGTGGTTTTGGGGGAGGGGGTTCCAGAAAAGTCTGGAGCCATGTTGGAAGTCCAGGTGCCACCAGGGAAAGGAACAGTTATGGTTACAGGGCACAGTCAGGCTCCTCGCAGGGGGCCTCGGAGGAAGCCTCTGACAGAGCGATGTCCTGGGGCTCGGGACTCTCAGTGATGGACCGGTAGCGAGGGCTCAGGAGTCCCCCTTCCTCGGGATTCAACTCCAGCACAGGGTCCTCCCCCACACTCTGGCTGAAGAAAGCCTTCAGCCTGTGGGGCTGCATCCTGTGAGCCACCACCATGGCCAGACCCAGCAGCACACACAGCAGTCCTGGTGATGAAGCAACAAGTATCCCACATCAGTGATCGGAACACGCTTCCAAGGACATCTTTTCCTAAGAGCATTAGGCCCCTCCTGAGGGAGGCCTAGTGTCTCTGCTTCAGGGCAACTTGTGCTCCACGGGATGATCAGTATCAGATCATATGGCTGTTATGGGTCTGTTGTCCTGAGTTTTTGGACTCTAAACCCAGTGTTTCTTCAGTTACACCCCAGGGTAGAGAGAGAAAACTCTGAAAACCAAGAAGCACTGGGAGGAGGGCAGGACACACAGGAGGAGGCATAGGAAATGGCTTAAGGGGGCAGACGCAGTAGGATAGAAGAGAAGAAAACTTTGGGGCAATTGAAGACTCTGTGAGACAGGGACAGAGAAGTGTTCTAGGAATGGGGGACACAGGGGAAAGTGTTTTGGGGAAGAGGGAGGAGTCATGAGGTCAGAAGATTTAGGGAAGAGCTGGGTGGAGAGAGAGTTAGGGGATGAGGGGTATGACAAAGACAGATACATACAAATACAAAGAAGGGAAGCCTGTGGATAAGGAATCTTAGGGGAGGGGGCTCTAAAGAGGGGAAAGGCATCCTTCGTCCCCAGAGACAGACCCTCAACCCCATGGATCTTCTGGGCCTTGGCCCTGAGTCCCCCACTGCCTGTCCCAAGCCTGGGCCTCACCTGTGGTCAACGTGATCCAGTAGGCAGGCCCACGGTGAGTGTGCAGTGTGGCGGCACCCAGGCGCAGGGGACAGGGCGGGGTGAGGGATGTGGCCGTGGAGAAGAAGAGCAGTCCCAACAGCTGGAAAAGGCCCGTGGCCAGCAGCATGTGGCCACCATAGACCAGCACAGGCATGGACAGCATCACATTGGCCAGCAGCCAGCAGAGGAATGCCACCCTGGAGAGCCAGCACCTGGTGAAGGCCTGGTGAAGGCCTCATTTGGGGCAAACTTCTACCTGGAGGGGCTGAGGTGGAGGCTCGGGGACCCAAGGATACCCCAAAGAGGTGAAGTGGGGATTCCTGCCTGTGGGCTTCCCAACCAAGTACTGTGGTCACCGGCACCAGACTGTCTCACTAGGGATCTCCACATGAGCAGAGGAGAGATGGGTGGAAGCCCCATTACTGAGTCTAGGCCAGCAGGGCCTCTGGCCACGCTCACCACAGCATAGCCGAGGTGTAGTGTCCTGCCAGGCGGTACTGGCCATGCAGGCCACAGGGACTGTGTGGGGTGAACTTCTCAGCCAGGTAGAGCAGGGGGTCTGGCAGCCCCTTCTCCAGTGCATTGGCATACTCCTCAGCGTAGTTCTCCCCCAGGCGCCAGGTGAACTCCTCATTGTAATCAATGGTCTCGTTCAGCTGCTGCACTGGGGTCCCTGGGGAAGAGGGCAGCTATGCTCAGCAGGGACCCAAGGGCCAGAGTGGAGATGTACCTGGGCAGAAGCTTATCATGCTGGACAGAGGGCCAGGCTCTGGTCTCCAGTGAGAGAAGGCAGTTTCCAAGGCCTGAGAATTTCCCTTCCTACCACCCCGCATACTATCGCTCTTCAGACCACTCTGAGCATAGCTCCCAAAGACACAGAACCATGCCTTGCCCTCCCACACAGGTAAAAGCCCTCCCTCACAGATAAAAGCCCTCCCTCACCTGTGAGTGTGATGTTGACGCCTCCCAGCCCAATCTGCAGCCCAACGTTGGCGCTGATCCACTGGGAACTGAAGGCCTTGTAGGACGTGTTGGTGCTCACCTGGCCCACAGACCACTCAGAACTGAAATTCACGGCTGGGTTGGGGAGTTGGATATACAAGAACTCAGGGAGGCCTGGGCATTGCTGGGTTAGAGCCAGGGGGGAAGCACCGAGGGGACCGACCATGTCTGTTTTGCTCATAATTGTGTATCCATTAACCAGCATGAGGCCTGGCTCATAGTAAGTTTGCCAGCAACATGTATGACATGAATAAATGGGGGTGGGGTGGGATTTCTCTGGTGGCACAGTGATAAAGAAGCTGCCTACCAATGCAGGAGATACAGGTTCAATCACTGGTCCAAGAAGATCCCACGTGCCTCAGAGCAACTAAGCCCATGCGCCACAACTACTGAGCCTGTGCTCCGCAACAAGAGAAGCCACTGCAATAAAAAGCCCATGCACTGCAACTAGAGAGTAGCCCCTGCTCGCCGCAACTAAAAAAGTCCATGCAGCAATGAAGATCCAGCACAGCTCAAAATAAAAATTTTTTTAAATTAATAAAAGGGTCAGAATCCAATATCTCCCTCCTCTGGTTATACTCCTCTTACCCCTCCCCTCACTTCCCCCCATTTAGGGGGAGCTACTCAAGCAGATGGGGGAGGAAACACTAACATAATAAATGGTTCTGGGCAAACACAGGGAGCTTCAACACAGATATTTTCTATGTTTCCTGTTGCCTAATCCCCAAAGCGAAGCAAGCAGCCCTCCACCATTCTTTCCCTCCAGCCTCCAGAGACCCTCTCCCCACAGGCATTCATTTGACCTGCTTTCCGCTGAATAAAAATGTTCAGAAGGTTGAAGAGACACATGGAGGAGGCTTGCACCTCTCAGGGAAAGGGCAGATGTGAGGGAATAAGTCCAGGGTGAAGGAGATGTGGGCAGAGAGGTCTAAAAGTCTACCCTGAAGCAAAGGCTGCTGTGGGGACACCCCAGTGGGAGAAACAGGATGGAGAAGCTGCCCAAGTCAGCTGCCCTTCACACTCACCGAGGATCACAGCTCCGATGAATAAGCTGGTCACTACCCGCAGCATCCAGAACAGCCTCTGTGTCACAGGGCGGGAGTGGTGGCTCACGATGCCGCACCCTCCTTTCAAATCCACCCCTTCTCTTTCCAGACTTGGGGAGGGTGCTTGCTCTAAAGCTGAGGTCACTAAGTCAACTGGGATCAAAGTGCCTGGCCCAGAAAGATACTGTACTCAGTAATTATCTGTCAGGGAGTGGGGAGCTCTCTGCTGGGAGGGTGGCTGATGTTTTCTCAGGACTAGACTCTCCTGAATCTGATTGTAACCGGAGAGTCTGGACCCCTCCTTTCAAGGTCAAGGTCTCTCTGGGGCTGGGGTCTGCAGGGTTTGTTTTGTTTCTCACCATCTTGCCCCGAATGCCTGGCAGGATGATGATGAAGGTGACCAGTGAAGTCAGAAAGATGGCGACGATGACGGCCAATGTGGTGTCCGTTGGGAAGGTCGGCTTGGGACCGGCGTAGAAGGGGAATGTGTGTCCAAAAGCAGCCATTTTGGGTTGTTCGGGGGAGGCGTAGGCTCTACAACAACGATAGGTGTTCACTGAGTGCCCTGTCTGTGCCAGGCACTGCTCCTGGTGCTGGAGATGCAGCAGAGAGTACACCAGATCCCTCTTCTCTGGCGCTCACCAGACGCCACGGTTACCGCCATTCCATTATCCCTCAGCCATCCTTAGCTGTGAGAGAATAAAGGTCTCGGCAATCAGTCTCTGTCACCCCATGCTCCCTTCCTAATCCCCAGGTCCCCTAAATCAGTGCCACCGCTACCCTCAAGGCTTCGCTGCTTCCTCTGGGACTGTCTTAAGAAATATAATTCTCTTTTATCTCTCTCAGACCTCCAGCACAAGCAGACAGATCACAGAACACAAAAAGAGCTGTATTTACTGTCAAGGTAAGGCATAAGGCTGAAAGATGGCACAGATTACAAAAAGGTTGGCTTTCCTCCTCAGTCCCCAAAGGAACAAAGGCCAGAGCGCTCTGCTAAATGTATGTAATCCAGCTACATCACCAGCGGGCCGATTCCCAGACCTGGCCTGGCCCTCTGGTCTGACCAGCATCTCTCGAGCACCCTGGCTCCTTCACTGGTAACTGGAGAACAGCCGAGCTGAACTAGTGGGCCTCAGTGAGCACTGAAGGAGCCCACCCTCCACCAGGCACAGTGCCAGGACCACACGTCCTTCCACCCACACGTCATCAACAGCGGCTCTCCTTCTTGATTTAAATTCCCAGGCTTCCTTTCGGCTCAAGCCCTGGCTTAGCTCTTTTCTGTCTGTTCCCTGGTCTCAGAGCTATTTGGCTCTAGTTTGTCCATTTGCAGACAAAATACTGGGAAAATGGTACCTGAATCAACTGTGTCTTGTGAAATCCAGATGGAATGGATGCTGTTATTTTATGTATCACAAAGAAAGAAAGAGAAAAAAACCACTGCCAATTAAGTCATGACAGCCAGGACATCCCTGGTGATCCAGTGGTTAAGACTCTGTGCTTGCATTGCAGGGGGCACAGGTTCGATCCCTGGTCAGGGAACTAAGATCCTATACGTTGTGCAGTGCAGAAAAACAAACAAACAAATAAACTATGACAGCCACTGTTGGTAAGACACATCTGAATTTCAGACATGTCAACATGTGGGAAAAAAATGCATCTTATGATCAAGGAACCCAGCTCTGCTCATTTCCCTGTGTATGATTTGTACTGGGGCCTTGGTACCCAGGAGGCTCCATAATTTGTAGTTTGACCAGGCAGTGTCTTGTTAAGTTATGCAATGGAAGGATAAGTTTAGGAGTTTAGAAGCTCTGTGTTTGAATTCTGCCTTTGCCTCTTGCAAGTTACTTGACCTCAACAGAGACTTGATGTTATTTTAAAAACTGGGATGATGATAATGTTAACTTCATAGGGTCACTGTGAATATGAAACTAGATTGTGTCTATAAAGTGTTAAGAATAGTACCTGGAACAGAATAATACTAATAAATAGATGCTAGTAGATTGGGAAGGAGGGGGTGCATTTCATTACTCCCTGTTTGTCTCTTTCGACAATCCTTACAGGGAACCCTGGGCTGGAATCAGTTCTGGGTCTAGTTCCAATTCTTTACTGACTGATTTTACAACTAGACAGGCAAATGAAAACCTCCTCTGTTTCTTAGCTTCCTCATCTGCAATTGGTTATGGTGATCTCCATGACCCATTCTAGTTCTAAATTTTGTGGCTCCCAGACTCTCCCTCTCCTTCTAGGCTGGTCACCTCCTGGTGCTATCTATGGGAGGAAGCATGGTATCAGCAAAGAGACAATTTAACATTCAGTCCTCTCTTTGGGGCAAGTCGAATAACCTCTGCCTCAGTTTTAATATGAAGTTTTGCTTTTTCTCTGAACTCTTCAACTCTTCCATTCCAGAGGAATGGAATCTTTTCTTCTCAGGCTCTGACCCCAATCCTGCCCACCTTCACCACCGCCTATCTCATCAGTTATCCCCCTTTCTCTTGGTGATTTTGCAGCTCCTCTTTCTCTGCCAGCTCTTTCTCTCAGGAACATGCTTTAATTTCTCCCATTTTTAAGAACACAAAGAGAAGGATCTCTTTCTGTTGAACTTTTGGGTCCCTTCCAGCTACTACCTGGTTCCATGTTCTCCCTTTCACAGCCAGGCTTTTGGGAAGAACAGTCTCTGTGTGTGTCCATTGCCTTATCTCCTCAGTCCAGTGGATCTGGCTTCTCTCTTAGCCCAGCTTCTCCATTAGGTTGTGTGCACGTGTGCTCAGAGCTCAGACACTCAGTCATGCCTGACTCTTTGTGACCCCATGGACTGTAGCCCACCAGGCTCCTCTGCCCATGGAATTTCTTAGTCAGGAAATACTGAATACTGAAGCAGGTTGTCATTCCCTTCTCCAGGGGATCTTCCCTACCCAGGGATTGAACCCGAGTCTTCTGTGTCTTCTGCACTGGCAGGTGTATTCTTTACCACGGAGCCACCTGGGAATCCTTCCCCATTAGGTCACCAAGTGCTAAATTTAAAGGGAAACTCACTTTTCATCCTTCTTGCCCTTCCTGTGGTAATTTCTCTTTCTTCTGACTTCCTCCCTGGGCCTCCACGACACCACGTTCCCCTAGGTCTCCTGCCTCTGGCCATCCCTTTCGTGGCCCCTTTGCTAGTTCTTTCTCCCCTCTTAAACAGTCATGCTCCCCAGGATTCTGTCTTGGCTCTCTTCTTCTAGTAACTCTTCATGATTTTCTAGGCAAGTTCATCCCTTCATGGCTGATGCTTCTCAGATCTGTCTCCACACAGACTTCCTACTTGGGCTCTAAACCCAAAAGGGCCAGCTATCCTGTGGATGTTTTCACTTGGCTGTTCCATGGATGCCTCAGATTTAACAGGTCCCAAACTGAATTCAGTGTCTTCAATTTGCTTTTTATTGTTCTGTTTGTCTTTTCAGTGGCATCACCATTTCATCAATCAAATAAGCCAGAGACCTGGATCGTTTTACCTCTTTATTTCTTGAAACCATCCATGTATTTCCTTCCCTACTATGGCCTCTGCCCTAATTCCGCCTCATCCTATCTGGCCTGGTGCCAGGGAAGTTTTTCTAACAAACAAATATAATCATTTTATTTCTTTGCTCTGTGTTAAATCTAATCTTACCATCATATGCAAAGTCCTTTGTGATCCGGTCCCACCTATACTTCCATCTCCATCTTTTGTGCAGCCTAATCTCTAGCCATTCTAAACTACTGGCATCTCCCTGAATCTGACATGCTCTTTCAAGCCTTCATGCCTTTGTATATGTTATTTCCTATGTCTGGAATGCTCTTGCTCTCTTGGCAAACTCTTTTTCATTTTTCAAGTCTCAGCTCGTGTTACCTCCTCTGTGAAGTTTCCTGACGTCATCAGGCCAGTGTAGATGTTCCCACCCCTAATGTTCTGATTGCATTTTGAACATACCTCCACAATCACAGTAATCACACTGCACTCTGTTTGAACCTCTAGAACCCATTAGCTTCTAATCTCCTAAAGGGCAAGGGCTTTGTCTTTCCATCTTTGCATCAGAGGATAAACTTATTAATGCAGCATGTACTTGCTAACCAGTCTGTGGATGGAATGAATGAATGTATGAGTGTATCCCTCTCCCAGCAGGTGGCATCGTCTGTTTCACACACAAGAGGGAGCTATGCTTCCTCACTGTCGTCTACTGTACTCAGTCAACAGTATCACCTACATTGAGGCTAAAGATTGGACAGGAATGGATTTGACCCATGCTGTCAATTTTTAGTGCTTCACAAAATTTTTAGAAAGCCTCTTCCGATAGTTCGAGTCTCCAAAGCATGAATGTTCATGTTTAATTGAATCTGAAATATACATTTCAACTCCAGCTAAAGGTAAGTAAGAATTTGAGGATTAAATTATTTTGTAAAATATGTGATGGTGATACTTTATTAATATTTTATAACAGATATTTATTGGTCTAAGACTTTTTTAACTTATGACACCTAGACTGAAGCCATTACAGTTTTGATGGAAAACTATACTTTTAAGGAAATGATATAAAATGTAGACTATCTTGGTTAAGATAGGAAGATAAAGCAAGTTTGAATACATAGTAGTCAAATAAGAGTACATGTTGTATGTTGGAATTTCAAAACCAATATTTGCAATATAAAGAAATGATGATGCAATGTATTTTGATTAGGGTCATGTATTAGCATTATTCCTGCATTTCAAAGTGAAGTGAAAGTGAAGTCTCTCAGACTTTGCAACCCCATGGATTGTAGCCCGCCAGGCTCCTCCATCCATAGGATTTTCCAGGCAAGAGTCCTGGAGTGGGTTGTCATTTCCTTCTCCAATTTATTTCAAAGGGAAGTTATAAGGGAGGTTATAAAATATTTTATAAGAATGGATCATCCCTATTAACATTGTGCTTCAAAGTAACACTAACAATAGGGTTTCTGGATCAAGTATAGAAGAACAACACTAATTTATTTCCAATTCTCCAAAATATTTATTAGAGATGACTAAAACAAAAAGACAGTTGGTGAATAAAACTTGCCTTGTTTAGTTCCTTCTAGTTCAATTTAGTGAATTAGGTCTTCTTTAATCTACATCACTCAATTTAAAGTTAATTTTTTATAACCCTGATCCTAATTTGGCTTTAATCATTAACCTAATAGGCCTCCTGCATAAAAAGGTGGGACTGAAATGAAAAGTCCTCACAGCAACAACCCTGCTTTTCCTATGAAGTTTGTGGTTTCCCTTGGGGACATCTTCCTTCCTGGCTTGCCAAGGAGGATCTGACAGTAGAATTTTTTCTAGAAAAATCTCATGTCAATCTTTAACCCGCCACTTCTCCCCTAGCCGACTACCAGATTGTTATACTGATATATATATGTTAATATAAATAAGCACAAGAAAGATACAGATATAGGCTTTCCAGGTGGCTCAGTGGTAAAGAATCTGCCTGCCAATTCAAGAGACACAGGAGACTCAGTTTCTATCTCTGGGTCAGGA